GGAACCGTGCACAACCTTTGTGCGTCATCAAACTCGTTTGCTTTGCTACCCTTAACTACCTTAAAAGTTACCTGAAAACGTATTTAAAATAAAACTGAGGTGTGTACCAAAAGCACGTTGAATATAAAAAGGCAGGCTACTTTTGGAAAACAGCTGTTTAGTAAATAGATTCCAACCTAGGAGTAAAATCTTCATGCTCAAAAGAAAAAACTCTTACAACAGCAATAGGCGAATCTGGCAGAGGGTTTAAAAGAGAAAAGTGTAATTTTATTGGTAGTATTTGCTTCTCTCTTATCTCCCAGAGTAACAGAGGGGATGGGGAACAGACAACCCACTTTAAGAAACATTTTAGGAAAATGTATTATCTAAAACAATGGGCAAAATGTAAATTTCTGCTAGTTGGTTCAACAGATCACTTGGTAAGTGAAGCGCATATTAACTTAAACATGACTATTACCTTGCAGATGGCTCTAAAATGACCATTGTTTATAAGAACATATATTTGTATCTCCTGCAGAAGAGGCAAAGAACATATTCAAATAGGTCTTACTTGTATATTTGAAGAACGCAATTACCATCCTGATGCTAAATATTTTTGCAGAATTAGTCAATACAAACAGAGGACGGGTTTAGAAATCTAATCCTCTATTGGCAAGCATTCAAAATATGTTCTTTTATTAACATGCACGGCATTTAAAAAAAATGCCCCTCTCCCTACGGGCGGGTACCTGTGCAGATGGATCAATTACAGTGTGAGCACATTCACCACTCTCTCTCTCTCTTTTTTTTTTTACAAAAAGTTTTTCTTTCTCCAAGGTCCACACACACTATTTCTAATGGACTCTCTCTCTTAATCAACGTGTTTGCATTCAAACGAAGCTGGGAAATGCATCGTTTACAAATGTTTCTTGCAATGCAAATCTTTTAAACTCCCTTGCGTAGGTGAAGGGAAGAGCTATCCAGGCACAATAAAATTTAAACTGTCTAAAATTTAGACACAGAGGAGAAATGTATTACGGCTGGGGACACAACTCAGACAACTCACTTTTGGGGTTTCTCCTCATTAAAAGCTAAGGCTAAGGGCTGTTGTTTTTTTTAAAATAATTAGAGGCCTGATGAGTTGTGGTTGTTCAGTTCAAAAGACTAAACATCCTTCAGCAAAATGATCTCACAACCTGACACGTATATGCCAAGAGAGAGGGCGAGATTTCAACCCAGGCACGCTGTGGCGGAGGTTTCTGCGATTGCCTCTCCCGAGGGGAAAGAGTCAGTCCAGGTTTTTGGGTGATCCTGACCAGGGTTTGCAGCTCACCAGCCTGACCTGTCAAGCGGATTATTTTAGAGGGAGATTAATAGGGGAGGCGGGCTGCAATAATAATCGTTTTGTTTGATGTGACAACTTTGATAGGCGTTGATTTACTTACAAACTGATAGGCTTTTAATTGAGCGCCTCCATCCAGCTTGAGATGAAAGGAAAACCGCATTGAAAAGCTGCCCGAGTGCCCTCGAGCCTCAATACTGATTAGCCATCTCGACAGTGAATAGTTCAAGGCATTTTCAAACTTTTCTCTCGCTCGCTCGCTCCCTTCTCCTCCTCAAATATCTGCCAGCCCACTCCCTTTTAAGAGAAAATAAATCATTTCCATTGTGTGCAAATAAAATCGACTTGACATCCTTGCCAATAGCTGGTAGGTAAAGGAAAGTGGGGACTGGCACTTGTTAATTAATTCGCTCCTGCTCTCCCCATTTTTATTTATTTGCAGTTTTCCTTTGGAAGGGAAAGAAGCCCAGTTCCAAACCTTAATTTTGTTTTTAAATGGAGAATTGTAACAACATTTCAACCAGTAAATGCCAAACAGAAAACCGGCTTCATGGGATCATTAAAGAAGGAGCCCATGCAAAGGTAGCTAGGCAGGGTGGAAACCATCTTTTTCAGTCCATTCAAACAAACAAAACAAAAAACAAGCAAGAAAGCAACACCAAAAGTACGCACCACGCTAGCCCCATCGCTTGCTACTTTTGTGTGTCCAAACCCTAGGACAGTCATCTTTTAACTGTTCCCCGTGTGTACTAAGCCGTGTGAATGAGTCATCAAGGCTAAGGAAATGTTTTAGGAGGGTTCTCAAGTGGATTTTTTTTACAAGCGTCTACTTAAAAAAAAAAAAAAAAAAAAAAAGCACCGCAGACTTGTACCTGAGTGATTTAAACTGCACATCAAAGGCTCGGTGCTAAAAGTGCTGTCTTCTGAAGTTGCTAATTAAACTACCTGCTGTAGCTTCTATTTGAGGTGAAGGGCTTTTTCTCCCCCACTTTCCCCCTCTTTCTATGTCAATACGCTACTTGTTTTACACATGTACCGGGTTATCACCTTTGATTCCTCGGTTTAGACGTGTAAGAGGCCCCTCCCGGGCCTTCCTCCACCCCCATCTTCCCCCCAAAAAGCCTTCCCACAGCTGACTCTACCTTAAGACAATTAATCTTTAGTCTTTCACCCTGGGAGGCAGGACAAATACAACGAGAAACAGATAGGAGTCTCTCTGGTCCTGTAAGGAAAACAGCTGTTCCAAGCACTTTAATGCAAATGAACACAAATGAAGGTTTCAGCTTTTTTTTTTATTCCAGAGTTTTACTGCACTCCATTTATCAATTGGACTTGACAACAAAAGAAAGAACCGGGAGAAAACCTGGGGGCAGATTTAAATCATTTCCACTCTATGTAGGGAAGAGACCTTACGGACGAGTTGTGGGTCTCGTCAATCCTGCTGCAAGATCATTTTCTTGGGCAGGACTTCCCCTGTCCTCCAGTTTTCACTCTCACATAAAATGACCCAATTGATTTTAACATCTTTTCGGGGAAATACCCGAACAAAGACTTTCCTCCCCTTTCCAATTTCAGTAATCACCTTCTGACAAATACAGAAATGTTTTAGGGCAAAATAGCAAATACAAGGAGTTTAAAACACTGGTCATTTTAACTTTTTCCTCTTCACACACACGGCTCAAGGATGGTTGTGGGCTGATCCATGCATCCAAAGAGAAAAGTGGCTTTTAAAAGAGACCTTGCGTAGATTTCTGTGACTTCAGAATTTAAAAAGGGACTGGTTTGAAGGAAAAAGATCTAGGAGAAAATGCCAACCCGAGCTACTAATATGAGAGCATGAACTGACACTGACTGACACATTAGTTCGGGGGTGGGGACTGTGTTTCCAACATACACACGTTGGTAGGTTCAGCAGACGCAACCACAAAAGAAAGTGAAAGTTCTATCCTGTCCGTCCCCCCCACAATCCTTTTTCCAGGATCAGTCCCTGTTCTAGCTGGAGACCCGGTCAGGAATTGGACGCGACCTCTAAAGCACTTGCCTTGTTCTTCACTTGTCAAACGTGTTTTATCTCTCGAAGTGACCTTTTTGTTAATGTTGTAGATCGTGTGGGCCACCATGTCAGATCCGGAAACAAAAGTAAGAGACTGATTAACACATTTTGCCTGTGAAAAAATGTTAGTGGATGAAGAGGGTTGGAGGCTAGAGAGGGAAGTTGGGGGGGGGGGGGAGTGGTTTGTTTTTTTAAATCCAACCCAGAGCACCAAAAGGGGGTGGGAAGTCGGTCAAGAATCTACCAACATTGGAAGGTGAGGTGCCCTCAACCTATGACCTCCTACCCACGGGGCATTTCTTGTAGACATATACCGCTGACATCTTTTAAAAGGGCTGGGGGGCAAGTACGTGTGTGCATGCTAGAGACTCTTTGGCTGTGTATACACACACAGATGTATATTACACACACATGGAGATAGGTAGGTAGATTACAGGGGCGCGCGCGCACACACCTCTGCTTAGCTCCAGGTACAGTTTAGCACAGATACAAATGGCGAGTCAATAATATTCTACTTAAAGCGAAAACTCCGGTAACTGGGCACAAATACGCATCGCCCACCCCCCAGCCTGTCCTTTGATGCCGGGCAATCGTTTGCTGAGCCTGTCAGAGTCAGTATTGGCATTCTGCGGCCGCTCGAGATGTCAATCTTAATCTCCTCTACACATTCCGCCGTGCCAAGCGCTTGAGTGACGGGCTGGCGAGAAAAAGCCCAGCCATGGGTCGTCTTCTTCGCCCAGCTCAGCTCTCCTTCCTCTCCCCCATCCCCATCCTCATCTTCATCCGCCAAAGAACACGTCTAATAACCGAGGCAGGAGAAAAGGAAGGGGGATCGCCTTTAAAACGCAGACACACAAAGCAGAGTCACCCCCGTTAATTAAAACTGCTCCGCCAAGGTATATATTGTGGCGTCGCGGCGAACAGAAGTCACTCTCCCTTTTGTTGGCATACAAATTGAGTTTACTCGGGGAACGATTTATTCCTTACATTGAATGGCTCTTTCTCAAAGGAGCCCGTCTCTCTCTCCTCGCTTTTCCCCTCCCCTCCCTCTCTTCCTTCAAGTCACACCAGGCTTGTAATCAGCAACAAAAGCTGACATAAATCAAGGGCGGATTGACAGGGGCTGACAAATAACTGATTGATTGCGGTTGGGGAGCATTGACAATTGATGCAGGGGTGGAGAGACCCCAAAAGAGAGGGAGCGAGTGGAGGAGGGCGGTGTATGTAACATTGAAAACATGTGACAGTCACATCCCCCAATCTCTGCACTGGGCTCCCCGTGTCATCATGGGCCTGATTGGAGAGCTTCTGCTCGTACTTGGCAGGGCGGACGATGACTTTATTTAGTTTCACGTCAAAGACCACTTTGAAAATATGAACGTGGGGGGGGGGAGCTTTCTACTCCCCCTTTTCCTCCAGCACGAGGCAGGACATTATCCAACCTGATCACCACTAGCCCTTGGTTTAGTGGGGCAAGGTTACAAAAAAGCACGGGTGAAACCACCATAGAGGCGTTGGAGCGAAGGAAAAAGCAACCTACAACATAACTACGTGTGTCTATCTATATACGTATAAATATTTGTACACATAACTGTATAAAGACATTCACTAAGGAGTATTTAAAGGCTCTGATAGCCTGTGCTATGTCATGAGGCTCTTAAATATACCTAGCACACCGTGTTGGCTACCCACCTGGCGCGCCCTTGAAAGGGCGCACTTCCCCCCGATGCTGCGCACTGTGCTTTTGGTAGGTACTGGCAGAGGCTGGGGGCAGTGAGGAGCATCAGGAGAACGACTTAAAAGCGCGGGATGTGAAACACAAAATTAACGCCCATCCCGTCCTAGGAGCAAAAACAAGAAGGGGAGGGGGAGAGAGAGGGAGAAAAAGTGCGAGAGAGGGAGAACCCACGAAAACCATAGGGGAGAGAGAGAAAAAAACCAGCCCGGGGAACGTCACATCCCCTTGACCCTCCAATCACCTCGGGGTCCCATTTGATTGGAAGGCGGCAAAGGCTTTAATCTCAGACTAACTCAGCTGCTTTTGAAGTGAGTTTCTTTGCCAGATCCCGGGGTGGACGAGCAGCGGCTCGCAGCAGCACAGCTGAGCGGAGGAGGAGGAGGAGGGAGAGCGCAGCAGCCGGGGACCAAGCGAGACACACTCACCATCCCCCCCCCAGCCCCCACCCCGGGATTATTCTGCTTTTTTCCCCCTCCTCTCCGGGCTCCCCCCGCCTCCACTAGGCAAAGCCAGAGACGTTTTCTGCCTTTTTTTGTTGTTCTTGCTAGTTTGCTTTTGGGGGTGTGTGGCTGTCTCCCCCCTCCCCCCACCAAAGAGAGAAGGTTTCCGAGGCTGATCAGCGCGACTCGTCCCAGTTTTCATGCGAGGTTTTGGGTCATGATCACATCGCCCTCGCTTTCTGCTGTAAGAAGTAGTAAGCACAGCAGCAGCGGTAGAGACATTGGCGGCAGCAGCAGCCTCAGCCTCAGCAGCGCCGCTGATCTCGCCTGGCAGAACGGGCACTCTGGGAATACTACTAGCTGCACCAAGCCCTTCTTCCACGCCGTCCCTCCTTCGGACCCTTTACGCCAAGCGAATCGGCTTCCCATCAAAGTCTTGAAAATGCTCACGGCTCGGACGGGACACATTTTACACCCTGAGTATCTGCAGCCTTTGCCTTCCACCCCTGTCAGCCCCATAGAGGTAAGGAACCGGAGGCGATGCCTTTCCCTCCCCCTCCTCCTGCTCAAGCGGCCTCTCCACGCTCATTGCATGGCGTCCTCTCCCTTCTTTTTGAAAGGCGTTTAGACCAGGAACCGCATCCCTTCTTTCGGGGCTGTAGCTAAGGCTGGGGTTGCGAGCTTCAACTTGGCTGATTTTAACATTCCTTCTGTCATGAAAAGTTGAATTTATTTGTTTTCTTTACACCCCTTTTGGGGAGGGAGAGATGGAAGGAGACTGTTTTCCTTAAGGACTAGGGACCCACTAGTCACAACGTGCGAAATAGTCTTGTTGGCTGAAAATATTGGGGGGGGGGGGGAATGTGGGTGCGGCTGATCAAAGCTTCCTGATCTTAGTCTCACTTTGGAAGATAACCTGCTTGTGGCGGGGTATGTGTGTGTTGTGTTGAGTCCCATCTTCTCCGCGTTACCCTGGCAGGATATTTGTAGGGACCTCCGCTCTGAAAGAGGGGTGGTGTGGAGGTTGGGTCTCGGTGAATGAATGGTTTCATTAAAGTCTGCTCAAAGGGAAGCCATAGATTTCCCGGAGCCCGGCTCTCCTGCTAACTCCGGATCGGTTTCTAAATCGTGTGGCCAGCCAGAAATGGTGCAGTCGCTCTCCTTTCCGGGCGTTTGTGCGCGCGTGCGGTGGGGACAAGGCAAAGCCAAAGTAGAGGGCGGAAAAGCTGAACTTTGTAAAGCCCCCGGGGTGGGTGCTGCTTTGCCTAGGCAGTAGAGACATGGGGCTGTCTCGCCGCGGTATAAGAAACCGTTGCCTTTTAAAAGGCATTGTGGAAAATGGTGCATGCAGGGGAGGAGGAAGGGGGGGGGGCTGTCAGGATGATGAATGTGCACAAAATTGTTGATCCTTTTCAGGCCGTTCTCTGCAAGAAACGTCGGCAAATGCCGACTTCTTCTTCTTCTTCGTCTTCTTTTTTTAAAGCATCCGATTAAACGTTTGTCTTTGTGTGTCCCTCTGATTTCTGCAGCTGGATGCTAAGAAGAGCCCGCTGGCCCTGTTGGCTCAGACGTGCTCCCAGATCGGGAAGCCGGACCCTTCCCCTTCCTCCAAACTCTCCTCGGTCACCTCGAACGGCGCGGGCGGGGACAAGGACTCCAAGTCGGGCCCCTTGAAACTCAGCGACATCGGCGTGGAGGACAAGTCGAGTTTCAAGCCCTACTCCAAGCCGGGCGCCGAGAAGAAGGAGCCGGGCCCCGCAGGCTGCGGTGGCGCCGCCTCTGGGGGAGTCTCCAGCGGAGAGAAATCGGGATTCCGAGTCCCGAGCGCCACCTGCCAGCCGTTCACGCCAAGGACAGGCAGCCCCAACTCCAGCGCCTCCGCCTGCTCGCCGGGGCTGCTGCCGGCCGAGGGCAAGGCGGGAGAGGACAAGAAGGACGCGGAGGGCTGCGGCAAAGGGGGCAGCGCCGGCTCGGACGGGGGCCCGGGCGCCGCCAGCCTCAGCCACAGCCGGATTAGCGTGAGCTGTGGCGGGATTAACGTGGAGGGCGGCCAGCACCCGGAGGGCGCGCCGGGCTCCAAGACCATCTCCTCGGACTCGTCCTCCTGCAGCAGCAGCACCACCGCCACCTCGTCCGCCTCGGTGCTGGGCTCCGGCCTGGTGGCCCCGGTCTCGCCCTACAAGCCGGGCCAGACTGTCTTCCCCCTGCCGCCGGCGGGCATGAGCTACCCGGGCACGCTGGCGGGCGCCTACGCCGGCTACCCGCCGCAGTTCCTGCCGCACGGAGTGGCCCTGGACCCCACCAAGTCCGGCAGCCTGGTCGGGGCCCAGCTGGCCGCCGCCGGCAGCCTGGGCTGCAGCAAGCCGGCGGGATCGAGCCCGCTGGCCGGCGCCTCGCCGCCCTCCGTCATGACGGCCAGCCTGTGCCGCGACCCCTACTGCCTGAGCTACCACTGCGCCAGCCACCTGGCCGGCGCGGCCAGCGCCTCCTGCGCCCACGACCAGGCCCTCAAGTCCGGATACCCGCTGGTCTACCCCACGCACCCGCTGCACAGCGTCCATTCCTCCCTGACGGGGGCCACCCCGCCCTCGCTGGCCGGCCACCCCTTGTACCCCTATGGCTTCATGCTCCCCAACGACCCCCAGCCCCACATCTGCAACTGGGTGTCGGCCAACGGACCCTGCGACAAGCGCTTTGCCACCTCCGAGGAGCTGCTGAGCCACTTGCGGACCCATACTGCCTTCCCGGGCACCGATAAACTCCTCTCCAGCTACCCCAGCTCCTCCTCGCTGGCCAGCGCCGCCGCCGCGGCCATGGCCTGCCACATGCACATCCCCACCACCGGGGCGCCGGGCAGCCCGGGCACGCTGGCCCTCCGCAGCCCGCACCACGCCTTGGGACTGAGCAGCCGCTACCACCCCTATTCCAAGAGCCCTTTGCCCACCCCAGGTGCCCCAGTGCCCGTCCCTGCGGCCACGGGACCTTACTACTCCCCCTATGCACTGTACGGGCAGAGACTTACCACAGCCTCCGCTCTGGGCTACCAGTGAGTGTAGGGTGGGGTAAGGATTGCAAACGACCGAGGGGGGAAGCGGGGGGGGGGGGGGGGGGAAGAAACCCTGCCACACTTTATACAAGCTGAAATCTGACTTTTTATAAAATAGTGTTCATTTGAGGACTGGATCCGTGAGCACTGTATTTATTTATGTTAGCTTCAAGCGGGACAATGAATCATAAAGTGCATTACTTAACTGAGCTCAATAGGTAAAAGTTGAACACCCATTGTAGAATATAAATAAAAAAGAAATAGAGGTCTTCTCTTTAATGTTACTTTAAAATTGCTATGATTGTATTGTACGTTCTTATTTAATGTCTCCTTGAAACAAAAAAAAGTTACATGCATGTTTGTTACTAAAAAACCAAGTCGCAATTTGTCAATTATAACTTCAAATTGCAATTATTTTTACGGTGTATACAATTGAAAGAGAATTGGTATTTTTTTGTATGTAATCTGGAAGAAGGAAAAAAAAAACAATTCTATTCCAAAAACCTCATTTGCCTTATTTTGTTCTTTAAAAGGAACACTTAACTATTTTTAATTTTTAAGTCCACCCTGTAAAAGGGGGTAAGGTTTACGTCATGTACTAAAATAATAGACAATGTATCGCTTTAAAGATTAAAATTCCGTATATTTGATGTATTAAAAGCTTTTACTTTTTTTTTTTTTAAAAAATACGCTTTGAGTCTGTTACAAACAACTGGGGCTGGGTTGGAGAGGATTACTAATTTCTTCTTAAGCGTTTATTCAATTTTAATTAAAATAATAAAAAAAACCCAGCTTTATTATAACCCCCGGGCTCTCTCTCTTAAATTTTTTTTTTTTAAAAAAAGGGAAGATGCATGTTATATTTTTCCACCTTAACACCTGTGTAGGAATGAAACTAGAAAACTAAGGACCTGGTTGCGTGTGTTTTAAGAAACCAGTTCTTGAATTATTGCTGATGTGAACGGGGAAAGCTAGTGTTTAAAACTTTTTTTGGTTTTGTTTTTTTAAAGAAAAGGGCTCGGGAGGCTTTGGTTCTGAGATGGAAAATAGACTTAACTTGAAAAGCTTGTAAACTGCACAGAGAGAACGACCCATCTCTTCCCCTCTAAGCACGACGTGACAAAATCAGAGCACGACTCTGTTTCAACCCTATTACTGCAGGATTTTTCGCAGCGCAGGGCAAACGATTGTCAGGTTAAAATAACTAATCAGACACTTCCAGTGTCTTCCAGTCTCTCCTCCTTCCCCATAAGTGCTTTTGTAAAGAACGACAAAACCAAATTTCTCAAGGCAGAATAAACCTGCGATAAGTTAATTTTAATTGAAGTGAAAAAAATATAAAACGCTACTGCTGCATGCCCTAGCAAGGCTTGCATGGGCTGGTGTAACTTTGCATCGTAAGTCTTTACCTAACCACCCGTTAAGACAAGCAGTTGTTCGCAGTTCTCCTTTGTAAACTCCTGTACGATGGGAGAAGTAGGGAACAAACAAATGCAAACAGAACGATTAACGCATTTACATAGGATCTCTGTTCGTGCAGCCTCTTTCGCAGAGGTTTTGTGTGATACAGCCCCATCCGCTAATTGATCTTCCTTCTACAACTCCCCTCTTTCCCCAGCTTGAACTAGGAGAGGGAAAGAGTTACAAGCGGCGACTTGCCTTGACAAATTACTTATTTTTCTGCCTCTCCTTACAATATCCCCCACAATATAATTACTGCTCAAAGTTTCCCGTGGTGCCCAGCTGCTAATTAGCCCAATGCATTTACTCGAGATAATTAGTAGAAGTTAGAGTTAATGTATAAAGTGGAGAAAAGAAGCAAGTTAATGAAGTCTCTGCATTCGCCCAGCCCTCTTTGCTGACCGGCTTTGCCTGGTATGAGGGGGACTTTGGGACGTTTCTGAAGGAGATAGACAAGATCTATACAGGGAAATGCCAAGACGCGCGGCACTGGGGCCGTCTCTGGTTCTTTACAGGCGCCAATATGAAATAGGCACTAGAAACATAACCTGCTTTACTAAAAACGGGACTATTAAAAATAGTTCTGCTTTGGGGAATTTCAAACGAGCTCTCCGTTGTGAAATGATGGGGGCAGGGCTAAGCGTGTGTTACTTTTAAAGCCCAGGGTAATTACACGAAGTAACTTAAAAGCATAATTCTGTGCAATGAAATTGACAAAAGCGCAGCTAACACTCAAGAGAAGGAAAGGAGTCGTTGTTGGGTGTAGGGTTTCAGTCACTGAGTTGGATTTACACAAAAGAAAAAAAAATTGACTTTATCTTCTGTTGCACCTTGATTGTGAGGGCACTCGCATGCTAATTCTACCAGGGTAGTTCAGCCACGGGCTTTATTTTTTAGCCACTGCTCAATTTAGATTAAAAAATATATATTTTAGGCTCCCATCTGGATCTGGACAACATTTATTGAAGATTTACCACGATAAAAAAAAAAACACCCTGCCTTTTCTTTCTCTGTTGATACCTTTAATTTCTCTCTTATACACACATTCCTACCACATACTATCTTTAAATGATCGATCCAAAAATCTATAAACAGGTGTTTCTACGGCTATTTTTAAAATGTCTTCTGGTTACAAAAGGTTAATTTTATTTTTGAGGATTTCAGCTCTATCAAAGTTAAAACTAGGCTTAAAGCTGAAGGATTTTAGATGTAACGAATCTTTCCCATTGTTTTATTTATCACCATTTTGCTCGGATCCTGCGCTTGGTATTACTGAACATTTAAATCGCTTATTTTATTTTCATGGCTATGGTAAGGGGGTGTTAAATATTTGACCTGGCAAGTGTCGCCTAGAATTTTGATATGAAGCTAGGAAATGTGCTTTTTCTAATAGACACCGACTTAGGGGCATTACTCTTTTTCGGTAAAAGGGTTGCATTTGGTATTTTCCTCCCCTGTTCTTGCTAACTGGATGGGTTGTAGAGTTGACAGCAGCCGCTGGTCCATGCCACCGAACTAAACTAATTTCGTAGTGGAAAACCAACTCGAGAGGACAAGCAACAGAAGGGCAAGACTCATCAAAATCCCAACCTCAGATCAATCTGACCAGAGTCAGACATACATTAATTTAAATTAAACAGTTCGATCTTCCTCGCAAATCTTTTCTGAACATTAAAGATAAACTCATGTAATATTTAAACCACCTCTGGTCTGATGCGAAGTGCAACTGAAGAACCAAAATAGAAATTAATGAATTTCCTTCCACTCCTGAAGGGTTACGCTGCCTGCCACTTCAACCCAATCCTTCTGATAATAAGCATGACTGGAAAAGGAGGGTTCCGTTTATTTTAGCTGTGTAATTAAGCCAGCTTTATAAAACAATATAACAGCACAAGCCAGAGTCAGCAAAGGAGTACATAGAACATATTTGAGCCTATATATGCACAGACATCCACGCAACATACACCTCAGTTTGCTTTTCTGTCATTAGTAGAGAAACAAATGTTTTGGAACTCAAATATAAGGCTGCATCTATAACGACTGGATTTTCGCTTTATGCAAATAATAGGCGACCACATTTTCTGAGAGGGGATATATCTGAACTACTTTTAATATAGCATACAAAGACCCATGCAGTGCGGTACGAGGTCTGACCCTTTCTTTCCTCCATTCTGGGTTTGAGTAAACTGTCCACGTTTAGAATCGGAGAAAGCCACCCGGGTAGAAGAAAAGCCCAACTTTCAGGGCTCCAGAAAAAGACGCATCTGAAGAAAGTAACTGATCAAACTTCGTATTTTTAATGTACGAAGACGAAGAGAAAAGCGTGTATTAAAGGTGGCTATGAAAGTGCCATTTAGTTTATTTGGATTCAGTCCTTTTTTTTTAGGGGGGGGGGTCAGGAAAACAGTGACGTCATCAGCCTCAAAACTTCTGTCCATTTCGTTGTTTTTTTTTAATGCGGATATTTTTAAACATTTCTAACTTTGAAATGACACACACACACACGTTTCTGTTCTTTGTGTAACATCGAATGTTGAGATTCTGACTGCCCAGCAGTACCGCAGACAAGACAATCACTCGTGAATGGGAAGTGTTTAATTCTTCCTAAATATCCCTCACAGCTCAGTCCCAGAAAGTTAAGGCCAGATGGCTCAGGATTTTTTTTTTTTTTTTTTTTTAGAACGCAAAAAAGAAAAAGAAAAGAAAAAAAGGCTCTTGCGATGAAATGTGAAGGTGTCAGGGGGAAGGGGAAAGAAACCTTTCTTCGTTCGACTCTCCCTCGACCACCGATTGCTCTGACAACAGAGCCAGAGAGAGGGAAAAATTCTGGAAAACTGAGAAATTTGGGCTTTAAACACGGAAATTAAAAGAAATCTCATTAACACCGGGCGTTTCCACACAGAAACCGCTCAGGTATTGATTCTGGGGGGTGGGGAGGAGGGGTTCCCATTTCCGGGTTGTGCCTGTGATTGGATAGTTTTTGCTTTTAACTGACACAAACAGTAATTCACAGAGACTTTGTTCTTTCTTCATGTCTTAAGTCCATCAACTGTCCTCCCCCCAGAGTGAAAAAGGTAAATCCATTTTAGTTTTGAATAGTGTAGAAATCCTGGTGTGTATTTCTCCCACCCCCCTGTATCTTCAAATGAATTAGAGACAACCTGACAATGCTGTCATCTGTCTTCAACGTCACATCACGGCAAGAAATAATGATAACAGAGCAGCAGAAAGACGCCCACTGAAACCTCGAAGGTATATATATATATATATATATATATAAAAGCCTCAAAACAGCTTGAAAGAGAACAAAATTAGACTAACCTCGGGATACTACCCTAAGAACCTTTAATATTATTTTTTAAATAAAACAACTGTGTTTCGTCTTCAGTGTTTTATTCTGTGCAAAGTCCGGTTGGTTGATCAAAAAAACTTCTGTGAAAATAATAATTACTCTGAAACCTATGAAAATAATAATAATTCACTGAGCGACCACATTCAGTAGATCTAAAGTATTACAAAAATCAAAGGAAAAACATGATGATTCAAGTCCGGTTTGCAGTTAATCACCAAGGTTT